GAAAATATATAATGTAGCCCTTAGAAATTAGTATATTTTAACATATTTCTTATCAATCCATGTTCCTTACTTAAAAATAAGACCACCCTACAGGAAAATGACCTTTGCACAAAGTGATTTTTTTTACCACCCCACAACAATAAAAATTCTTATATGGATGCATTAAAAAAATAGTCTAGAAGGGGCTGGGGATTTAGCTTAGCGGCAATAGCGCCTGCCTGGCATGCGCAAGGTTGTGAGTTCGGTTCCCGGTACCGGAGAAAAACCAAAAAAAAAAAAAAAAAATAGTCTAGGTTACTAATACCTATACTGAAGTAAAATACAGGATACCTCAAATATTTAATAATAATGACAGTCCACAAGAAAAAAATTATTAATGGCACAAACAATATTTGAGTTGCAGGGAAAACAGAAAAAGACTTTGGAACTAAAAACAATAGAAAATAATTTATTTTTAAAAAAACAGTTTGAAAATTTAATTTGAATAGTGTATTTCTGGAAAATTTTACTATAAAGCCAAGAGAAATTCTTAGAGTTAATTTCTTAAATGGTTATGTAGACCTCCTCTTACAGAACAAACACAATCAAAGTTAAGTCCTCAGTGAAGTTTGATCTGCTTTTTACCTTTAGAAAAAAACCCTCATGAATATTTAACATAAGAAAAAAATGCAAATTTGGTTCCAAATCTGGATGACTAATGTTAATAAATTTATAGTAACTATATACTTCAAATGAACACCAGGTCCTCTAAGGTCTCTTGTCAGTTTAGGCCGGCACTACTTTTTCTGTTTTTTTAATATAATGACTCATGCAGTGGCTGTTTAACATGATTACATACTTGGAATCTTTTTTTTCCACTGTAAAGCATATGGTTTCTCAAATTATGTAAAAAAGACACAAATTATTCATGAAAAGGCTGGCTTCTGTGCAAAGTCATATATAACAGGTGTGCATTCTAAATGAAATGGGCTAATTATTGAATGCTTGGATTCCTAAAATACTCCTTCGGGTGCATTCTAGGATATCATTTCTGAATACATTTATACTCTTTATTAAAAAATAATGAAAACTAGGAGTTCATTTTCAAGAATGTTTTCTTTAAAATGTTAGCAACATTTCTCAAAACACTTTTTCCTGTTTCGTACTGTATGCTTGAATGTACCTCTTACATAGCTAAAAAATTCTGCATGAATCACAGGCAGTATTCATTAATAACCTCAGCGAGCAAGGTGTAAAGACTGCATGCATTTGGCCATGATTTACATAGAAGTTTTCTGTGAGTCATGTTGAAAAGTTATACTTTTGCAGCCACTTTATGTCTGGGAACATTGGAGTTGAGTTGTAACCTATTCCCAAAATCTTTTGCTCATTTGACAGAGAGCTGAGGAAAAAGTGCAAAGACAAAATTGTAACTCATGCTATACCCATTTAACATATTAGTTAAGATCATTTTGAAAAAAACCCAAAACCTCCAAATCTCATACTAGAATTATAGTCATTGTCTGTAATCCCATTCAAATATCAAGAGTACAGAAACCAAATTCAACAAGAAACTCTGAGCTCTCAGCTTGCTATGCTTAGAGAGCTCAGTTGCTTTTCAGGAAAGTTTTTTCTTTGTTTAGCACCTATGTTCCCCTTACACACACCTAAAAAAACAAATTTCGTTCCTAGTGGAATACGAGCAGAAATTCATTCTTAATACAGATTTATTTTTAATACTACAGATTTCTTAATCCTTAAACTTTGGTAATAAATTAGAAACTATAAACAGTTCTAAAATCAGATCAAATTACTATCTCACTTTATCAAGCTATTAAGGAACCAGAAATATAATTATTAAACATGAACCAAATATAATATGTCAAAGAAATATATGGTTTAAAATATCTTTCCACAATCTAAAAAAATCTGCCCATAACTCAGGCTAGCTCTATCTTTTATAGACATAAAAGGAACAGGTGGCTTCACTTCTGTTCTTTTGCTCTACATATTGGTTAATGTGGTTTCCATATAATTGTATGGACTGAGAACAATGTGATATCCAAGTGATATGCTACTACTTTTTGATGTTTAAGGGAAACACTGCTTAGAGTGAGATTTGATTAACCATTTACTAAGTATTTACAAGTAATAATCTAAGGAAAGTCACACAACCTAAAAACAACTACTAACTCAATATTTTCCAATACATGTAACATAATTGCACTGGAGAATCAAGATTTTCTAAAAGAATCTATGTTGCCTATAGTTACACTTGCAAGGATTATGTGAAAATATCTCTTCAGAAGATGATTATTTATTTATTTATTTTTGGTAGAAGGAATCGAACCCAAGACCTTACGTTTGCCAGGCAGGCACTTGTGCCACTGAGCTATATCCCCAGCCCCAGAAGATGTTTAAAGACATTGAAATGCCTTACAATCCAACTTGACATATAGGAACAATCCATATTCTAACAATAAATACAATTAGAAATTTCTTAGTAGTAACTTTTGTTTTGACGTATTTCAGCATTAGGGCTACTGTATCAGAAACATTTGTTTTACATTACTATTAGTGACAGCATTTGAGCAGAAACATTAAAAGGAAACTGCGGAGAGATTTTTAAAACAGATGAAAAATGCTAGGTATGAATGAGCTTAAGTAGTTTCTTCCCGCTGCAGAATGCTCCCTGCCCTTGGACATCTTCCGTGCACACCTTGGACCAGTTTCTCAGCACAAGCAATAGGAAGTCCTTTTGTAGGAAGCTAAAGCACATGGTGCTATCTATTCTGTTTCCACAGATGGAACACACTGTGGCTAATTTCCACACTTGCCAAAGCTCTTAAAATAGGCTGTCCGGCATTGAAAGACAAAAAAAAAAAAAAAAAAAAAAAAGTGACTATTTACTAGCACTAGAGGGAATGATAATTGGCCAAACTGATTGAAAATGCCAGAGTCAGACAGAATGAATTTTGACATACTACATAGTTTTTCAGTCTTTGTTTTTTTTTTTGAGATTGGATCTTATTATGCTGCCCAGGCTGGTCTCAAACTTGTGGGCTTAAACAATCCTCCTGCCTCAACCTCCTGCGTAGCCGGGACCACATCCAGCTGTGATGTAATGTATTAATTCATAACTAAAAGCAAAATACCAACAATTTGCATTCAACTTACTATTAAGGTCAATCACATGCTCCAGACCTAGACATCGAAAAGCTTCTACAATTCAGTGGAGAACAGCAAACATTCCAGTAGCCCAGGCAGACAGGAAAACAAAAACAACCTTCCTGAGCAAGATTCATTTCCCTTTTATTTAAGCAAGTAGAAAACTTTCTACGAATCTAAAGAATATTCAAGTGTTATTTTAAAGGCATAGTCATTTACTGGATTTCCTGTCCCCCAAAGGTCATAAATAAATATATACAATTCCTTTCTTCCTTGACTTGTATTTGCTTTGAATTATGAATAACTTGTGTGGGAAGGTATATAAAAATTCCATGAATAGTTAATATCATATTGCCCTCACATGAAGAATAATGTGGCTCTTCTGTCAACTTTCAGGAAGTGTATACTGAGAATGTCACATTGTTCTAGCTCATCATTCTGGCCCAAAGAAAATATTTCAACAAAATATTTCATTTCCTTACAGCCTTTTAAACAATGATAACAAAAACATTGCCAAACATCCTTGTAGTACAAGGACAGCGATTCTGCCAAGGAAGTCAGTCTGCTTTAATTAGAAATAGTTTGACTGAATGATGCACAGGCTTAAAAGGTTGTACAGATTGAAATATAGCAACGAGAACAGAAGTTCCATCGTAGGTAGCATTGGGAAAAAAACGTCAAGGCAACCAAGCTCAAGAGTTCAAGTCATCTTGCACTTACAAATCCCTGGCTATCTAATAGTTGTTAAATAAGGGCGAAGGAAGATAGAGTATTACAGAAAAGAGCTATGAACAGTAGCCATCTGGTGCTCATATATTCCAATGAGAATTTCAGGACCAGAGAGGTTAAATAACTTAGTTAAAGCCAATCAGATTGGGGGCTGAAGACAAACTGACTTTCAGATGGTGCCCATACCCAACCCCAAGAATGAGAAACACAACACACTGGGAAGCAAAAATGACAAAGAAATAGGAATGCCTGACCTCCAGAAATGCTCTTCACTATCAACTCCATCATGAATTAACTGTGGAGTCCAGGGCAAGTCTCGTAACTTCTCTGGATATTTGCTTTCATCCTTAAAATGAGCAGATTGGACTGGATGAATGTCTGTAGTTCTTTCTACCTCTCTCATTCCAAAATTCTGCATATACAAATGAAACAGCACTCACTGAAAATGCTACACAAAAATCAAGAGAACTTGATGAGCGTCCTTTAATCTTGTTTTAAGCCCTATTATACATGATAAAAAGAATGACAGTCAGACAAAGAGAAATAGTACATGAGAATGGAGTTTTGGCAGAAGGAAAAACATGGAAAGAAGAAAAAATAGAAATCTATGCGAGGACAGTGGGTAGATGCACAGGGGAGAAATGCTGGGACAGGCACAGAGAGAGGGTAGCAAAGTATAAAAAAGGCAAAAAGAAAGAGTAGGCAGAGATACAAAAAGAGAAGCCCAGAAAAATATTTAAACTGCTTTGAAGCTTCCATATTGATAATACCAGTAATAAAAATAGTGCTGCTATTAATGTTTCTATCACTCTATGACAGAGGATATTTCCATTTTTTTTGCTCTTAAACCCAAACTATAGGGTTAGTTTTATTAATTATTCTATTTTATAAGTAAAAAGAATTGTTCCTCAAAGATGTTGGCTACCGCACCCCAAATCACACCACTACTATAAATACAAGACAAGGGTATGAATTCAGACCCTCCATCTCAAATGTTTTCTTATTCAGCTATATCAAGCTGCCTGTCTAGTGATCTTTTAAAAATGCTATTAAATAGTAGTTTTGAACTTCCTTGGAGACTAAAGGAAATACATGGTACTAATAGGTTCCTGTCCAAATTTCAGACAGTATGCTCTAAGGTGGAAGACAGATGTGTCAGTGAAAAACTAGCATGATGAATGCTACACAGAACAAAGCATCCCAGGAGCAGTCTCTCCTGGGAACAGAGAAGGCTCCGTGGAGAAACAGGAAGTCCTCCGTGGAGGAACAGGAAGTCCTCCATGGAGGAACAGGAAGTCAGACCTGTGAAGAAAGGTGAGGTGACTGGACACAAGACATTCTTCGTGAGAAGAGCAGGTTGGCAGTGGACAAAAGAAGGTTGGTACAGAGACCAAAGATGTTATGGCTGAAAAGGTAGCTGAGCCACCATCCCAGAGAGGGCCTGTGTGCCAGGACAGTCATTTTAAAATGGTCCTATAATAGTAAGGAGAAATCCTGGATGTTTACACAGGGGTGGAGATGTTCAAGTCTTTATTTAGGAAATCAATTGTAAGGCTCATAGAAAGCATGACCTATGAAGAAGGGCTGCTTAGGAGTTTCTTAGATGTGTGAGAAGACTAGGAAAGAGGTGATGTGTGAACACAAATGAGAGAGAGTAGATGGACCAAAATCTTCAAAAGGACATCAGCTTGTACTCGCAGGCAAGCCAATGTGCAAACAGTTCATGACTCACAAAGTCAATAGAGACTACTTAACATGCTTCCCTCTTGCTGTGGAGGGTGTGTGTTTGTGTGTGTGTGTGTGTACTGATGGTGGCAGTGGAGATTAGACCTAGGGCCTCATGGATGCTAGGCAAGTGCTCTAACAATGAGGCAATGCCTCACCAAGTCACCCTGGCTAGCCTTGAACTTGTGATCCTCTTGTCTGAGCTTCACAAGTAGCTGCAATTTACAGGCATGTGCTACTATGCCCAGCTATTGCCATTTTTTTTTAACTTGTTTACTTTTCATGGACTTTAAAATCTACTAATTCTCAGGTTACTTTTGATCACTTTTGTGTTTGAGACAAGGTCTTGCTGTATAGTTCATGCTGGCTTTGAACTTGTTCTGTAGCCTGGGCTGGCCTCAAACTCACACTGAACCTCCTGCTTCAGCTGGGGTTGAGTGTTGGGATTATAGATGTGCACCACTACACTCAGCTTTTTCTTCTTCTTTATGCTTAAAATATTTTAACTCAATTCACTTTTGATGTCTATTTTATAAAATGACTGTTATAGTCAGTTGATGGTGGAGTCCAAGGAAGAAATAGTAATCACACAAGGTAAAGGAGTAATCAAATAAAACTCATCAAATTTCTATGAATTTCTGAAGTATTTATTGCCATTAACAAAGCATTCTGAAAATGTCCTTATATAAACATTCCTGAAGTACCTACAACTAAAACAAAAATATCCATAGTACTATGAAACAAAAGAGAAAATGAGGTTTTTTTTGGCTTTTTTCTGGTACTGGGAATCGAACTCATGACCTTGTGCTTGCCAGGCAGGCACTGTGCCGCTGAGCTAAATCCCCAGCCCCCGAAAATAAGTTTTTAGAGAAACAAATTAAACTAAAAATGTTTTAATAAGCATGTTTAAGAAGTCCTTGAAAAGCAAAACATGTAACTAAAAAGGATGCCTGAAAGTATATAGAAGCATTCAGACGTAGCATTAGTTACCATGTGAAAACTTTCAGACAAATTGCCTATTGGTTATTAAACTAACTGATTCAACTGCATAAATACATGGCAATAATAAAATGAAAGTTAAAAAATAGCAGCTAATTTTGGGAAAGACAATTAAGAATTTTACCTTAGATCTGATAATAGTGCTAGAGAAAATATGGAGAGATGCATAAAAAATAAACTGGACATCTACAATTGAAATTTTAGAATTAATTTTAGTAGTATATATCAATTGTACAGAATAGTGGATTTTTCTCCGGCCTCTTGGTACAGTATATGTATATATACACTATGTGTGTGTATATAACATAATTGATTTTCATTCCTCATTCTGCCCTACCCTCTATTCTCACTTCCTTTCCCTCATCTCCTCCTCCAGCTCTAACATTTACTTTTATGTCATCTTTTTTTCTTTTCTAGATTCTTTTTTTTTTTTTTTTGGTTTTTCTCTGGTACCAGGAACCGAACTCACGACCTTGCGCTTGCCAGGCAAGCGCTTTTGCCGCTGAGCTAAATCCCCAGCCCCCTTTTCTAGATTCTTCATATGAGAGAAAACATGCGATATTTGACTTTCTGAGCCTGGATTATTTCACTTAAGGTGATGATCTACAGTTCCATCCATTTTCCTGAAAATGGCATGATTTCATTCCCCATTATGGTTGGATAATCTTTCACTGTGTATAAGTACATTTTCTTTATCCACTCATCTGTTGATACCACTTAAGCAGGTTCCAGATCTTGGCTATTGTAAATTGTGCTGCTATAACTCTAAGTATGCAGGTATCCCTACAGTATTCTGACTTTAATTTCTTCAATCTACAAAAGAGTGGTCTAACTGGATCAAATGTAGCCCTACTTCTGAGGAATTTCCATACTGATTTCTTTAGTTGTACTAATTTACATTCCCACCAACAGTGCAGAAGGATTTATGATTTTTGTATTGATAATAACCACTCTGATTGGGGTGAGAGACAATAACTATATAGCTTTGGATGGCATTTTCCTAATGACTAAAAATGGTGAACCATTTTTCATATACTTATTGGACATTTATACTATTTTTTTTGAAAGGTATCTATTCAGTCAGGTCATTTGCCCTTGATTGACTGAGGGTTTTTTTTGATAGTTTTGTATGCATTTCAGATACTAGTACTGTGACTGAACGTTAGCTGGCATAGATTTTTCTCCCATTCCGTAGGCCAGTGAACAACCATTCATAGGCAGCAAATCTACGGCACATGTGCTGCATGTATCACTGAAAGCTCTAAAAGGTTTGCCAGCACTGCTATAGGCTGTCTCTTTCCCCTTTTGATTTTTTTTTTTTCACGAGAAAAACTATAGAAACTACATAAACACATAGAGTGTGAATAATACCCTTCTAAATAAGTGGGCCACTGAAGAAATCAGAGAAAAGTAAAAAAAGGTCCTAGAAACAAATGATTAAAAAATTCCTAGGATCATATGATGATGAAAATAAAACATGCCAGAGCCTGTGGGGTAGAATGAAAGCAGTCCTGAGAGGAAAATTTACAGTAAGACATCAGAAAAATGCTAGATAAACAACATGATGATGCATCTCAAGGTCCTACAGAGATAAGAAGCCAAACCCAAAACCAGGGAAAGTGAAGAAATAACAAAAATCAGAGGAAGTTGCTGAAACAAAGACTAAAAGAACAATATAAAAGATGAGTGAAGCAAACAGTTCTATGAAAAGATAAGACTGATAAACCCTCAGCCAAACTAACTGACACAAGGAGAAAGAAGACCCAAATTAATAAAATTAGAGATGAAAAGGGTGACATTTCAACAGATACCACTGAAATCCATAGGATTATTAGAAACTATTTTGAAAACTTACATCTAATAAATTATAGAATTTAGGATATATTTCTAGACACATGTGACCTACCAAAGTTGAACATAGAGGAAGTCAAAAAAATTAAATAGATCAGTAACAAGCAATGAGATTGAAGAAGAGATTAAACAGCTCTCAACAAAGAAAAGCTCTGGACCAGTGGATTTACTGCTAAATTTTACCAGGTCCTTACAGGTCCTGAACAAGTAGTTTTATTGCTAACTTTACCGGACCACTAATGCTCCTCAAACTATTTCACGAAATAGAAAAAAAAGGGATGTTTCTAAATTCATTCTATAAAATCAGTATCACCACGACACCAAAACCAGATGACTCAATAAAAAAACCATGGGCCAATATCCTTGAAGAATACAAGTGCAAAAATCCTCAATAAGATTCTTGCAAACAGAATTCAAAGATTACATACAATGACCAAGTTGGTTTTATCCCAGGGATGCAAGGATGGCTCAACATATGTAAATCACTCCATATAATACACTACATAAATATAACCCAGGATAAAAAATCATATGATCATCTCAATAGATGCAGAAGGGCTGGGGATTTAGCTCAGTGGCACAGCGCCTGCCTGGCAAGTGCGAGGTCGTGAGTTTGATTCCCGGTACCGGAAAAAAATAAAAAATAAAAAAAAATAAAACTTTCAATAGATGCAGAAAAAGCCTTTGACAAAATTCAACATCCTTTCATGATAAAAATCTTGAAGATACTAAGCATAGAAGGATTCTTCTTTGACATAATAAAAACAATAAATCCACCATCATACTAAATGGAGGAAAACCAAGTGTTTTTTCAAAAATTAGGAATGAGATAAAGCTGTACACTCTTACCACTCCTGTTCAGTATAGTACTTAAAATTTCAGCCAGGGCAATTAGGCAAGAGAAAGAAATAAAAGTGATACAAACAAGGAAGGAAGAAGCCAAATTATCCCTGTTTGTAAACAAGGTGATTCTTTACTTAGAAGACCCGAAAAACCTTCCACCAGAAGACTTTTAGATCTGACAAATTCAGCACAGTGGCACGATACAAAATCAACATACAAAAAATCAATGTTCCTCTACACCAATAATGAACCCAGTGAGAAAGAAATCAGGAAAACAATTCCATTCACAGTAGCTTGCAAAAAACTTAAAATACCCAGGAAGACATCTAATCAAAAAGATGAAAGACTTCTTGAACGAAAATTACAAAAAATTGAAGAGGACACTGGAAGAGTGACTTCCCTTGTCCAGTGCTAGGCAAAATTTTGTTAAAGTTACTAAAAGCGTTCTACAGATTTAATGCAATCCCATCAAAATACCAATGACATTCTACACGGAGCTACAAAAAACAGTTCTAAAATTCATATGAAAGTGCAAAAAGACCCACCATAGGGGCTGGGGATTTAGCTCAGTGGCACAGTGCCTGCCTGGCAAGCGCAAGGTCATGAGTTCGATTCCTGGTACCGGAAACAAAACAAAACAAAACAAAAGAAAAGATCAAGACCCACCATAGCCAAAGCAGCCCTGAGCAATGGTAGAGGCATCATAATGCCCAAAGTCAAATTATAGTATAAGACTATGGTACTAGCATAAAAACAGACAGGAGGACCAACGGAATAGAGGACACAGAAACAAATGTGCGCAACTGTAGCCACCTGATTCTTGGTAAAGGGGGCCAAAACCACGCTGGAGGAAAGAGAACCTCTTTCACAAATGGTGTTGGGAAAACTGGATAACCACATGTTGAAGCATGAAAGTCCATCCCTAGCTTTCATCCTGTACTAAAATTTATTCAAAGTAAATCAAAGAGCTAGATACAAGATCTGAAACTTTGAAACCGCTAGAAGAAAACACAGAAGAAATACTTCAAAGGACAGGCACAAAGACCTCCTGAGCAGAGCCCCAACAGCACAGGAAATAATAACAAGGATGAACAAATGGAAGTTTTAAAGTCTATTTCAGGCCGGCCACATAAAGGTGATGGTTGAATTCAGAGTGTAGACAGAAACTTCAAGAGAGAGCATCTCACAGTAGCTAAAAGAACAGAGAGTTTAAGGTACAGCTTTAAAGAGCACACACATTTAACCCATGAGGGGGAAAGTCAGATAAAAATGTGAGGTTGAGTTCAGAGGAGTAGGAGGCAAGAAAAAAGAATGAGATAAAGGAGGGGAGTGCAATGGATGGGAAAATAGGTTAGAAAATCAAGATTGAATTGTATTCCTGAGGCCTATTAGTTTACTGAAAGGAACAATTAATGCTTAAATTTTTTTTGACCAATTTTGCATGCTTATATCTGGTAATCTTAACAACTAATTTGAAGACAACAATATGCAATATAACAACCATTGTTGAATTCCTACCATCTTGTTTAGTGAAGTTCTGTATCACTTCTGATGTTTTATTATTATTATTTTTTATTCTCTTTAATTGTTTGATCAATCTCGGATTCTTACATCTGGTAACCTGAGCAACTTTGCTGAAGGTAACAATATGTAATATAACAACCACTGTTAATTTCCTATCATCTTGTTTTAAAATTTTGTATCATTTTTATTGTTTTTGTCTTTGTTATTGTTATTTTTTTTTTCTCTTTAAAATAAAAAAAAGAAAGTCAGGATTGTAGTCAACAACCCTTGGCTTTGGTGATTAGGGAAGCATTCACGTTCCTTTCTTTCCACCATTAGTAGGAAAGTTCACTGTTTTTGAAGCAAAGGCTGGTAGAAGGACACGGATTATGAAATCAGCTCACTTTGCTCTGGTATGGCCTGCTGTATGTTGGGCAGGCTTCCTAGTCTGCCACCCAAGATCCAGGGTAGCCTAGTAGCTTAGAAGGGTAAACTCTGGAGCCTACTCCCTAACTAGTAGCCACCTGTCATAATACTAGCTTGGCCCTGGGATCCAGCTCACTGCTCACAATTCTGTGCCTCCACTTTTCCACTATCTGAAAGCGGAAGTAATCATAGATCCACCCCACAAGACTCTTGTGAGCAATAAATGAATCACTGGATACACACAGTAAATGCTAGCTGTAAAAAAATCTAGTTTTGCATTGAGCTTTAATTTCGTCCTCTGTATGACAGAGCAAATACCATCTATTTCTGAGGCTGCTTGAATTACTGATGTCAAAGAAATTTCAGTGTTAATTATCCTTTTCTTAGAATGTTGTTTCATCAATGTATTAATGTCATGCATTTTTTCTGTATGCCTCTTTGGTATTGTTAGACTTTTTCATAAGCCTATCTTGTAACCTTTGGAGTAAGATCGTGTTCCTGTATTTGTGGCTTACTACAGAACACTTTGGTTTTGTTTCTCCCAAGATTGAGATGTACAACCAAGGGCTCTACAGGACTATGCATAAAGGTATAAAGCATAAAATTCAGTCTTAGCATCAAAAGACTCAGAGAATAATAATCAAAATTCAAGAACTGGGGCCAATCCACATGTTGGTTTAAGAACATTACTTGTAAACTCCAAACCAAATCTAGCATTTGAGGAGGTAGAGACAGGCTACTTAGAGGCCCTGATTATCTTAGTTTGAGGCTGTATCTGTAAAACTGATCCCAAAGTGAAGAAATGGGAAAAGATAGCCAGTGTCTTAATGGTTATTCAGACCCCAAAATGTGCCTTTGAGTCATGACCATTTGTGTGATTACTTCTTCAGCTAGCTGAAGCAGAAGTCTTCCCATATCTGAAGAACCTACTATATAAAACAGTT